TCTCCTTTTCTTTTAAAGAAACTGAACAAGGGACAAAAACTTTACCTTCGATTTTCTCAAAACAGCATTTTTCGGGGTAGCCCCCTTGTCCATTTCGTTCTTTTCTCTTACATCTTCATTTCTCTACAAGTCTTTTCATGCGATATATTTTTCTCTTCGTTTCACCTTAAAACACAAAAATTGCCACCCCCTCCCAACTCACCATTTTCGCGGGTGGTTGGGCACTCTGGAGAGGTCTGCGCCCTGTTTCTGATCAAACATATTTGACCCCGCTATCGACCTTATCTCTCCTCATTCTTTTCATTGTATATTTCTCTCTGGTAACACCCATAATCTATGACACTTATCTAACCTAATTGTGTTTCAAGCGCTGTACGTACAACTTTGACTAAAGCTTATCCCCGACCTCCCCCACCTAGTGTAAGGGTCACTCGATTCCATCTCACTGTCAGCCATACAGCCCACTGGAAAAGGATCTGCGGTAATTGAATATATATAATAAGCTGAAGGTTTTAATGGTACTGGTAGTTTCCCTTGATAACGGTTATAAGTGGACTCGCTTTTAACAGGAAAAAAACTGCTGGCCCCACCTGTCCTGTTGTATCCGAGTTTGACTGTATGTTCACGTTGCATGGAAAGGTGTTGATTTCTGAAGTATTTTAACTTGATGAAATAACATATATAAACTGCACAAAGTATTTGACTTTTGGTGATGCTGGTGAGGTTTTGTCTCTCCTTAGAAGGACCCTGTATGGATGAAACAAAATAATGTACCTTTTATCTCAAATTGTCTCCAAGAGCTGATTGTTGTCTGTTAGTTTTAGTAATAGATTTACTGCACTTACTACTGTGACTTACAACAAAAATAGTTATATAAAAGATAATATTTCTTTACTACTAGAGAGAAACATTCAAAGAAAAGGAGGAGAGATAAGGATGATAAGTGTTGTCTGTTAAAAACATAGTGTGTATACTTTCATTTAAGACTTGTCTATCTTTTGTTTTCATTCATAGAACCTGACAGAGAAATATGGGGTCAACAGTGAAGTTACCTGACCCCGAAATGATGTCTATTGCTTACCTTGAGGATGGGAAGTATGTCAATGGCGACTCTGGAGAACCACATACTATCCCAGATGCTTTCGACAAGGACAAGTTTCACAGAGGGCGACGTTTTTTCAAAGACAATCTTTATAGTTGCACCATGGGTATGTTCTTTTCTCTCATCATAGGAATGAGCATTCCTGAATTCTTAGAAGCTTTGATTTTTACTGGAGAGTCGGATACTCCAAAGAAAGCTATCAGGCGATATGTTATGACTTACAATCATGTGTTGAAGTGGCACTATGGAAATGTTTGGGAAGAAAATTCAGCTGCAAAAAATTCTATTCTCTTTGTGAGGTCTATGCATGAAAAAGTGCGCTCCAAAATGCATCTTGGCCTTGGAACAAAACACAAGAAGTTTCTGTCACAATATGACATGGGTGTTGTTTTGAGTGGCTTCATGGGATGTATAATTATGTATCCAAGATTTGGAGGCATTGTTTGTTCTAGGTCAGACTTAGACGATTATGTTTATTTTTGGTATGTGATAGGGCGGCTTCTTGGGATTGAAGACAAATACAACATTTGTGCGAACGGACTCGAACAAGCCTTCAAGTTTTGCAAAGAGATTGAGCAGGAAGTTGTATACAATTGTTTGCAAGCTCCTCCTTCCAAGTATAAAGAAATGACAAGTGCTGTTCTTAACGGTGTAACAAATGGTAAGTCCCTAACACTGTTGACATATCCAGTCATTTCAGCTATATCTATTGAATTAATGGGACAGAAATATTCAGATAGTCTCAGCTTTCCTGATCTCATTAGATATGCCATATGGAAGGTCCTTTTTTTCTCTATAAGACACTGTTCTTGGTTCAGATATTTACTTAATTTGATTATTGAGAGGTCTCATGGGTTGACTTTTGTTGACCCGTAAAGACAGCAAGTTCCAGATAAAACACACACGTGTAAAGAAATATAGACTGATAAGTATTATTAATCATAGGGACTGAGGGGTGAGGAAAGCTTGCTATTGAGCTAGGAACTGTGTTATACAAATGCTATTTATTATTTTATACAGTCTAACACGCACACACCGAACAGATATTTAGGCCCGGAATTTCTTATATATGTTGGTTTATTCTTTGTATTCAAAAAGTGTACATCGCAAAATTCCCACATAATGAAAAGATTTATGCGTCCCACTGATTTTGCTAGGTGTGTGCTAGGTATATATATATAGAGAAAGATATATGTGAGGCAGCATGGTGAAATCAGGCTCTTGTCAAAATAATGAAATTTAAAACACTGGCATTTTACTGTAAGTTTGGGAATTTTTATTGAATTTTGGGGGGGGAGCTCAACACCTTCCATGTCCATTAAAGTAAAAACACATTTATGTGTGGATTGTACTGAAAAAAGTTAATTAAAGGCATAAAAAAAATATAATTTTCTGTTTCCGTAGACTCTCAAGCTAAGGAAATAACAAAATTTGGTGGTCATTTTCTCGCTAATTTTACCTCTGAGACCAGGCGATGCCCTCCTCCTTCAATCGCAAATATTTCGACTTGTATTCAAGATAAACACGATGTTTTTTTTCATCAAAAGCAAGATAAATGAAAAAGGAAAATGATACAAATAACTCCACATGCTCAATAATTGACGAGCGCCTGATTCCGCTGTGTTGTGACACATATGTGTGTGTGTGTGGTTGACACCTGTCCTGAATGGACAGTGTTTGTGCATCGTCTTGCATCAGAAAAATATGATGTGCACTTCTCGCTCATAACGGAACATGAACCCACAAGTCTCTACTAGTAGTGGTAGCAGTATTACCTATCATCAGTTGTTTACAGATAAACTCAAATCCTGCCTGCGACCAAGTCATTGGGGAAGTGATTAGGGCTGGGCCCCTTGGATTTGCACTATTCGACATTCATGATTTCTGCGCTATTCACAGCTATTCAAAGTGTGGCATGGCCATTCGAATGCTGTGTGATTTTTTCCATAAATAATGGATTTCTTCTAATTTTTATCAACCCGTAGTAAAATTAAAGCATAATAAAATATCTAAATTCATGGAGGTAAATTCAACATTACGCTCAAGTTGATGATTACGTGACAGAGTGATAAGAGGAACCAGTAGGAGTTATAAAACATGCCTTTTAAAGGCACTCATGCCATTAATAACTCAAAAGACCTTTGCTTCGAATCGCAGCCAGAGATTTTGCGTACATTGCATACTAAGCTCCCTATGCACAGTTCGACATTTGAAGCACAAGGCGATATGGGTACCCAGCAGTGATGTGGGTACCCACCACTGCTTCAAAGCGCAGGGAATGGGTTTTTGTATGCTAGTATACTAAGCTCCCCTTGCGAGATTCGACATTCAAAGGAGAAGGCTGAATGGGTACCCGCCACCGCTTCGAAGCGCAGAAAATGGTTGGGGGGTTTTTATGCTGGCATACTTAGCTCCCCTTGGACAATGTGACATTCGAAGCGCAAGGCTTATATGAGTACCCACCATCGCTTCAAAGCTCAGTGAATGTTTGTTGTTGTTTTGTTTTTTTATTGTAGGCTGACAGACTTACTTAGCTCCCCTTGTACAGTTCGACATTCGAAGCACAAGGTTATGAATGTTGTGATGTGATGTCATCGCATTGCGGTGTGTCGTGCGTGATTAGGGCGAGTCGTATTTTGACCAAAAAAAACCCCACAAATCTGCCAGCCGCCATAGCCTACTTGTGGGGAGATCCAAAAAGTTTATACAATTTGTGGGTAGGCCTAGGTGCAGTGGGGGTACGGCAGGCCGGGACTAATGAAATGAGAGATTAAGAGTATTATAAGCCGTGCTGGCTAGGTTAAAAATATACATTACACACCTTGCTGTTACACTCACTTTGTCTCAATCCCTATTCCATTGTCTGTGCTCTCTCTTACTTTATGGCAGCATTGTAGATTGTTGGAGTACATTCTGTTCCCTTGCTTTTGTCCTGTTTAGGCCGGTTCTTTGATCGTTGCACTATTGTGTAATTTCAGAGATTGCATTGTCCTTCAGATTTCAAATTTGCATTATGTTTCTGTTTTATTTGTTCAAAATTATATGCATAATTTGAATTGTTTTTACAGTGGAAACCTGATATAACGGGGATGGTGGGACTCGAGAAAAAGTCCTGCTATATATTATATCCCTGTTAAATCAGAAATGCAAAGGAAGTAAGCATTTGTTGACTAATCCAGCTGTATTTATTCATGGGTAGTTTCCCTTGCCACAAGTACCATGTGGCAGGCCAATGCGTGACACATTGCGCCTGTGTGTAGCAGGCTTATATTAGGGCTCGATCAAAGTCTGCAGTACACTGCAGCCCTCTCTCGCTTTACCCGCTATGTGTGCTTGCAGTGGCATGGCTTGCGAGGGCTTGTTCCATCACTGCGTTACTCTCTCTCTCTCTCTCTCTCTCTCTCTCTCTCTCTCTCTCTCTCTCTCTCTCTCTCTCTCTCTCTGTCTCTCTCTCTCTCTCTCTCTCTCTCTCTCTCTCTCTCTCTCTTTACACCTTGTTAACGAACATTTGTCCCTGCTATAACCGATTGGGCTCCGATGAGGCCCAGTTATTGCCGATAACTTTTAATAGAGACAAATAGTCGGGAAAAAAGGGGATTTTAACAATCCGTGTTATTACCGGAACCCTGTTATTACCGGGCCTATTATGTATGGTTTCCACTGTATTAAACCTATTATGTTGCCAACAGAATTCTCTTGAACCTTTTTAACCATTTATTGCTTGAAGTCTTTGTTTATATGTAAATCTGTGCAGTTAAATTTTGTGTGATTTGATCAAATTGTACCATGTCAAGCAAACGCACAGGGAGTATTGTTTGGCAGTTATTTGAGAAGATTAACGAAATAAAGCTACCAAGAAACGAACCTCCAAAAGGCAATACAATCTAGCAAATATTTAAATAGCAGTGTTGTGCGATGCAGCGACAGTGTGCATGTGTGTTAGATGACAGATCTATAGCTCGCCGCCTACACTGGTAAAAAGGTTGGCGGGTGCTCTGGTGTGGTTTGCTCCTTCTTTCCTATCAAATATCTATAACCCTGATCTCTCCTTCTTCTTTTTTGTGTTTGTTACTCTCTTGTAAAACCTCTAAACTTCAGCACAAATATGACCTTATTGTGTTGCAAGTGCCGTAAAACTTTTACGAAAACAAAACAATAAAATATTTTTCTCTTGTCCAAGCCACAGCACTAGAAGTGATCACTTCAGTAGTGCTGGCAAATTTGGTTTGTTCTGAAACTGCCTTATTTTTCAAAACGATTTGCGATCCCATACCAGAGGATTATGTTTGTGTGGTACATGTATTGTACAACACAACTTGCTCTTTTTGTAGTTTTGGATCTGCATGCTTGTCATAAACAATGTGTGTTTAGAGAGAGACAGAGAGAGACAGAGAGAAAAAGTGGAGGGGACACTGTTAGGTAGATCTACTGTTTGCTGTATATTGAAACATGTACAATGTATGATTACAGACTAAAATGCAAAAATAAGAAAATTGACATGGCAGGGAAACATTGTCGTTATGGTCCAGTTTTAGCCTCTGCACGTGTTTTAAATACAAAGAATATATACAGGTATAGTAAAAATTTGGTACCTGAAAACTTTTCGAAATGTGCATGTTCGCTATATAAGCATGTCAGACTGTTGTTTTGTTTTGGACTTGAATTGGAGAAGTAAAGAGTGCCTTGACTACATTGACACAGTGTGCATTCTACTAAAAGGAAGTTATAATATTTTGTTGTCATTGCTGTTATTGCGTTGTTGTTGCCATAAGGTTCATTATCATCAAAACATCAACTTTTCAGAAAATCTTGACATTATTTTGAACTTCCCATTGTTCATTGATGATTTTTCTCCATACATTTAGGTTCTTTGTCAGATTGTTTTCGTACTACATTATATTTGTATAAAGACCACAAAAACAACCTTCCTTCTATCTCCATTCTGAAGGTACACTGTTGTGTATAAATAGTGGAGGAATTGAAAATTCATACATTGATGTATTTGAAGTTTTAAAATGAAATATATTGCAATTGTCTGTACATGTGTACGATTAATTTACCTACAGGTACTGTACATGTTTGGGGGTTTTTTGCGTTCGAAAATGTCTATGGTATGATAACAGGTACCACTCAGTCATTGTTAATGTTTAGCCTACCCTCAATAAAAAAGCCTTAAGGAATTATTCATCACCTTTTTGTCCATTAATCCCCTCATTGTACTTGTGGTCTCTGGTGATTCTGTATAGCCTTACTTTGGTGATATGAGGCATCATTGGTCTTGTGCTTAGGCTGTTGGACTCTCTCTCTCTCTCTCTCTCTCTGTGTCTTCTCTCTCTCTCTCTCTCTCTCTCTCTCTCTCTCTC